CAAAACATTTTTGGAAATTGCTAGGGGTATATTGTTTCTATCTGGATTACCACTAAGATTTTGGAGTTATGCTATTACAATTGTCTGCATTATAAACAGACTTCCTAGTAGAGCCTTGAATTGGGACACACCATTTGAGAGAGTATATCATAAAGGAGCAGACTATCATCGTTTGAGACCATTTGGTTGTTTGGTTTATACTGCTGACACTAGCCCTATGAAGGACAGACTATCACCTAGATCTCATAAATGTGTCTTAATTGAATATGTGGTGAATTGTAAGGGTTATCATTTATATAGCATGAAAAAGAATAAAAGCATTGTATCCAGAGATGTGATATTTTTCTCAGACATATTTCCCTCCACAAAAATGATGACAAACAAGGAGAAAAAATCTACACCACTACTGTTTGTACTGAAGTGCAACCCCAACAGTATGTGGATCCCTCTGATATGAATGAGGACATACATGGAATAATGCCACTTGATATGAATAGAAAATGAAAGAGTTATATTTTTGGCAATGAAGTTCAAAAATTAATATAAGTGAAGATATATTCTTGCAAGCATGAGAAATAAAAAGGGAAGTTCTTTTATTTATATTTATATTTATATATTCGATTTATATACATATATATTAGATTTACATGATCTTATTATGGATATATTTTGTAGGAAATCATATAAGAAGGAAAGAGAAGATAGAGATCTACACCTACCATATCTCTTATGATTTACATGGAAGGAAATTGGATAAACTTGGAAGGAAATCAAAAAGGAGTCCTATACTTGGAGAACACTCCACAACCTAGGGATTGTATATATATCTGCTTGAAGAACGAATTTTGGAGAGCTGAGAGCATTATATTCTATTCCATATTCGAGCTGCAAGCCTTTTGGTGTTTTATTTTCGTTGGTCAGTTTTCGGTGTTCTTACGTCATCGAAGAACTGAAGTCTGTTTTGTTTTCTTTTCTTTGTTTTTCATTCAAACACTTGTGTGATCAGTGCTTAGGGATTAAGTACTGTCTTTAGCTCGAGGGATTCGAGAGGTAAAATCCACGGGACGTGGTCGGAGAAGTAGTTGATAGAATCGTGTGTAGTTGTGGCTAGGCTAGAAGGGAGTTCGAGTCGTGTAAGTCCAAACTATACAAGTGTGCACAAACGGTTTATCAATGAAAGAGCTCTGAGGGGAAGTGGGACGCTTCCCTGAAGAGTTTTTAAATCTTCGATTTATTGCTTCCGCATTTTATAATTTTTGTTTTAGTTCGTACTACAATTAGCGCACTCCGTGACAAATACCTACGTTTCAGAAAAAGAGAGTGAGACCCAAACCCTTTTGGATGAAGGACTATGTTTGTAACAGTGCTGCAGAATGCCTTGATGAGCCACTCATATATGAACAAGAATTCTTAGCCAATTGGGTGGAACAAAAGGAACCTTTGAGCTTTGAGTAAACAAAGGTAAATGACAAATGAGTAGCTTGATATGGAGTTAAATGCATTAGAGAAAAATCAGACTTAGGAATTATGCTATCTACTAAAATGAAGGAAATCTATTGGATCAAAGTGTTACAAAATCAAAAGGAAGGCTAATGGGGAGGTAGATAGATACAAAGCTCAACTAGTGGCCAAAGGATACAATCAAGTTAAATGGATTAACTACTTTGATGTAATTTCCCCAGTGGCCAAGCTGGTTTCAGTCATAATATTTCTTGATGGCAGCCATGAAGAATTGGCCATTTTATCAGTTAGATGTCAATAATGCTTTCTTGAATGGGCACCTACTGAGGAAGTTTATATGAAGACTCCACAGGGTTATATGAAGGCTCAATCAGGCCAAGTAAGCAGGTTAATAGAGTCTGTATGGATTAAAGCAAGCCTCTAGAGGATGGAATTGTGAATTGTCCAAGAAAGTGCTTCAGTTTGGACTCATTCAATCAAGACAAGACCATTGTCTCTTTCACAAAAACATAGGAGATGGATTTCTAGCCATGCTGGCATATGTTAATGATGTTCTCCTAACATGTTCTAATCCACAACTTATCTTCTCTTTGAGGGACTTTCTTCACTCAGAGTTCACAATTAAAGATTTGGGATCTACCAAATTCTTTCAGGGAGTTTAAATTAATAAAACAGTTTCTGGGATGATGTTGCGCTTACAAAAATATGTGGTTGATCTGGTTCTTGATATGGGTTCGAAAGATAGCCATCGACCCCACTTCCTCAAGGGCTTATGATGGCACACCACTTGAGACACCAGATCAGTATACAAGACTTATTAGGAGATTATTATATCTTGCTTTAACTAGGCCAGACATTAGGTCCAACAGTTAAGTCAATTCACCAACAACACTTTCACAGATCATTGGGATGCAACAATCAATATGGTGGTCAAGTACTTAAAGGGTACTTCTTCTCATGGTTTACACTATATCTCTTCTACAGATTGAAGCATTACTTCTTATTGTGATGCCGATTGTGCGGCATGCAAGGACCTTACATGCTCAATCACTGGTTATTATGTCTTCTTAGGTCCTAATCTCGTTTCTTGGAAGAGCAAGAAGCAAACTACTGTTCTAGATCCTCTGCCGAGGCAGAATACTGGGCTATGGCAGCCACAGAGTGTGAGCTGCAATGGGTTCATTCTCTCTGCACTGATTTGCTTCATACTATTCTTCTGTCAATTACTATGTGGTGTGACAATCGAGCGGCTATGCATATCGCGTGAGGTCTTTCTTCTTCATGCAGCAGGGGTGTCGACGGGCCATTTTCATCCAGCAAAGTTTGAAGTCGAGTGAACGTTTCTTTTACCTTTTTTTTTTATTAGTTTAGGCATTTTAAAATTGCAACGGCGTCATTTTGTATTAGTGAAACAATGTCGTTTTTGTTTCATTTCAAATTTGAATTGGGCGGTCTCATTAAATGTACCCCAGTTTTCCACATTTTCAGTTTGAATGAATGAGCTTGAGTTTTCAGATATTTTGTTGGTCTTCTACACTTCATTTTGTTAATATTAGTTATGATGCATTCATTAACATTTCATGCAAACGTTGTAATTATATTGTAAGTATATAAAAGTCTCAAAAATTTTTAAAAAATACATGATGGAAGTTTAGAAAGTCTATGGTAAGAATTATATGAAAACCTTAGAATGTCCACCAAAGTAATTAACTTTCACAAAATCCACTAAAGCCACTCTCTTTAAAAAGTCTTTAAAAGGTTCAATCGAATTAGAGATGTTAAATGAATTGAGTCGCTCGTCATCTCGATTCGGCTCGACTCGTTAAGGCTTGAAAAGATGTTTTTTCTGTAATTTTCTATAGTTCGCTAGATAAATCTCGATTTCGATTCGTTAAGGCTTGAGCTTGACTCGTTAATATTCATAAATGAGTCGAGCTCCAGCTCAGTTCTAAGCTCGTTAATGGCTTGAGCTCAAATTCGAGCAACATTAACTTGAGCTCGACACACTCGTTTACACCCCTATTCGAATACACACCCGTAATGTAATAATAATTGAAATTTTTGATAAAAATTGTTATAAATTAATAATCATTCTTTTTTAAAAATATCCCCCCTTAATATAATTTCAAAACGTGCTGAGCCTAAATGGCTGGCTCGCACGCTCCGGAAGCTTACTTGGCAACATTACATGCTTCGTCTTTTGGTTCGGATAAAAATTGATATATTTTTGCTTACTACAATATATTTTTGCTTAATATTATAATATATTTTGCTTAATCTTTGCCAAAATGGGTGTGAAACTATCACTATTGAACCACAAAAATTACACGGGTTAAGAACCTCCGTCTATGCGGGTTATGCCTCCGCCTCAGTAGCTGCCGTGGTTTAATGCTAAGAATCCTATATCAATCAAATGTTAAGAATCCTATATCAATATTGCTTAATTACACGGGATAAGAATCCTATACCAATCAAATGTTAAGAATCCTATATCAATATTGCTTAATCAAACTAGATTAAAATATATTAAAAATTATATTTTATCATATAAAGAAATAAAAATTTATGTGTATTAACATACTATAATATAGCTATATCATTTAGAAGAAAATAAATAAACTAAGTATGAACATCAAATTAGTATAAAAAAATATTCTAAAAGTTTATGTCTCGACTTAAATAAAGACTACACAGAAACATTATGATCGTGAAAAATAAAGTAAATAAACATTATAATTAAAATTATAAAAATAATTATTTTATTTCGTAAAGTTTAAAATATTACACTCATACACATTATATTTTAAATTTTTGAACATCATAAAGTTGAATAAATTTTAAAAAATATTAAATCAGGGAGAAAGATTGTATAAATATAAAGTATAATTACAATATAATCACACTTGAAAAAAACTAAAATGAAATATGTGTGTGTGTGGTTAAGAAAATTATCATTTTAACAATTTGAGTATAAAATATTATTTTATATAATTATTTTTGTTATTTTTTTTATTTATTAGTTGTATATTTAATTTTTTATCATTCTATTATAAGAATATATATTTCTTCACTTCTTTATTTTGATAAAAATATTTAATGGGCGTTATTAACTGTCGAATAGATTAATTAATTTATTTAATTTTGACAAAAATAAATATATATTAAATAAAATACATAATACTTCATAAAAATATTTTACAGAATTCAAAATATTATTAAAAATATTTTTTATTAAATATTTATAGTTTTTAAATTCACAATAATAATTTTATTTTTTTCCACTTTTTCTTGGATAATTAATTTCTTATGAAACACCCGTGTAGTACACGGGCGTTGTACTAATATTTATATTAAACATTTAAATTTACATGCACCAACCTTAGAGAGCCACTATAAATGTCGGTCCTGCCCACGCCACATTCTCCTCCACAATACTAAACATCTTATCATCTTCACTTATTCTTGAGGATAGAAAGAGAGGGGCAGGGAGAGACGAGAGAAATAGCGAGAGAGGAGCTGTTGAAAATCTTGTGAAAAAAATGTCATTGGTTTCAGATCTGATCAACCTCGACCTCTCAGAGACCACTCAGAAGATCATTGCCGAATATGTTTGGTCAGTTTGTATTTGATTCAACAATGAATACACATGCTCTGTCTCTAAAGTATTCTGAAATTTGCAGTATAGTTTTTGTTAAACGGTTTCATAAGAGTCAATTTTCTTTTCTGTTTGTGAGTTTTTATTTTATTTTATTTTTTTAATTGCTCCGTTCAGAAATTCTATGATCGATTGTGTATTCTTATGATCCTTGTATTATTTTTCAATTATGTATGGAGAAATGGTATGATATGTCTATTATTATTTCCGATTAAAGAACTATAATTTGAGATTTTGTTTGGAGATTGTTTCTGTCGCACTGTATTGTATTCGCACCATTTGGCTTTTTCTAATATTCACGTGATAGTTGATCTCAAATACAACTTAAAAAATACCACAAATTCTTGTCTGGCCTGGCTAACCGTTGGGTGAGTATACTCGTTATACTCTTAGAGCAAAAATACATATTTTTACAATCTAATGTCATACTTTAGCTTATGTTGTTTTTTAAAATAAGACATTTTCTTACGAAATTATACAAAATTGTGTCACAAGTATGTCTAGCCTAGCAGATATTGGTTGTGACTACTGATATATGCAGTTTAAGGAATTGCTTCTCAGTTTTTTCTTCTTGATATCTTTTTTTTTACTTAATGGGATGAAAAATGTATGATCTTTGATGGCCCTATTTCACTGGCTGATTTTGGTTGACTTCATTTGATTTATTTTAATTTGATTTGGCAAGACCATCGATATTTCTTTCAACTAAGCATCGGTTTGATGCGATTCTTGTTTCTTGTCAATTTCCGAAATATTCATATGGTCGTGCATTTATGAATTAGCATAATATTCTAATGGATTGCTATTACACCATTATTCAGTTTTTTTATTTTTATATTAAGTTAAATTCATGTTCTGTTCTATACATGGTTTAAACAGATGCTGCTGCTGCAAAATTCAATTATGTCTGATTTATATTGTTTCATTTAAAGAAATATTTGCTGCTTCCTTGCTTTCAATTACACTATTTTAATTTATAATGTATTTTAAATCACTGAGTCACTAACCCCTCGTGTGCTGTAAATTATTTACAGGATTGGTGGTTCAGGAATGGATCTTAGGAGCAAAGCAAGGGTAATAGCCTATTTCTTTTAGAAATATTCACTTACGGCACCGTT